GTATATATATATATATATATACATATATATATATATATATTTATTTATACTGGCCATCTACAGATGAATAAAACAATCACTTTTGGATTTACACGTTCATATCATACTGTAAGCCAGCTTCAAAGAGAGTTTACAAAAGAATATATCAAGAAATACAACATCACAATATCAAATACTCACAGAATGAGCTAGAATTTATATAAAAAAATAACTTGAATAAATTATATTTAAAAGAACAGTTAAAACTTACAATACTGATACTGCAGGAACATTTATTCAACACCTAAAAAGGAAGTAGCTTTTTACAACTTGTTTTATTTAGAGCCATAATTCCTTTTAACATACTGTGCTACCACCTTGTATCCTAAATCTTCAAATAATTTTTTTCATAGTAGTGAAGTTAATTTGAATTTTATTTTAAATATTTTACTGTTAAAATATCTCTTATTGGAAATAATACACTTGCAGTTTTTGAACTGAAACTGGTAATAGTCACTAGATCCTGAAACATGATTGTAGTGTAGTTGCTGTTAAAATACCAGTGCTCTAGAAAATGAATTATTTTAATACAACTGCATACTGATGATACTATGCTATCTCAACAGACATTCTTGCAGTTAGAATAAAAAACAACACATAACACCAATACAAGAATTAGTAGAGATTCATGTGGTCAACATGCCACCAATAGGTAGTACTACTAGTAAGATTAACAGTGATTTATAAAGAATGCCTGAAGCCATATTTACAGTTTTCTCAAAACACATAGAAGAAAAAATCAATAAACATTGATGCTTTTAGCCATCTTTATTAATCATTAGCTAACTCTGGTAAAAAAATTTCCAATGGCTTCTTTTACTAATCTCACACAGATTAACACCACACTTTTTGGCACTCAAATTGACTTTTTTTTTCTTGATCTATTCCAAAATTAAGAATTAAAATTGCAAAATTTTTTGGAAGTAACCCTAGTTACAGCAATATGTTATTAGATAAGTTAACATACACAACTTTAGTGGAGCTGTTCATTCATATTTTTGGTTGAGATGTAAATTTAAGGATAATTGTATTAAACAGTTACATAGAAGTACTCAATGTTAAGCAATATATTATACTAAACGACTATCTATCAAAATGTAAGCAATTACACCTAAATTCAAACAATATTGTTGTAAAGTTTAGAGCATACATTCAATTTTTTAGTGACAACAGCAGAAGTTTGTTTAAATCTTACAAAAGGCAATGAACAGTACAGAACTTGTTATACAAAAATGTGAGCCATCACAACAAGTCCAATATTTCCACGGTCTGAAGAATGGTATAGACCTCACATTTCTTAGGTTGTTTGCATATTTTTAAATCTGTTGTTTATATACGATACACTACTAATGGAATAACAAATCAATAGTAAATTCGATGACGAGGAACCCACTTTGAGATTAATAATGGCTGGAGACGGCTTAAATGGGTA